CATTTTTTATAATTTTTAACCAATTTATAATAAATTTTTGTTGAATTTTCTTTTGTTTTTTTACCAAATACTAATGTTGTTTTTTTATAATAATTTATATTTATCATCAAGGTGATAATTATTATTATCTTTAATTATATAATTTATTGTTAAAAATGCCAGCTGAAACTCTTTCAAAATAATTTCGTCATATCTCTTACTATGTTTTAATATACTTTCAGCTAATTTCAGGTTTTAGGATTTTGTCGTATCTCTCACTATATTTTAATATAATTTTGGCCATTTATTAATTGTCTTTTTTGAGTTTCGTCTCTCATCTTTATTTATCGTATTAAAATTTTCACTTAAGTTATATTTGAGTTAATCTAATTTTATAAATAATATAATAGTTAAATTAGTTTTAAAATCAAAATCAAAATTTCGAACATAAAGAGTTTGATATTTTAATTGTGAGTTTATTGTATTATTCAAGTTTTCACAAAATATCAAATCAGAATTTCAATTTAATAATAAAGAGATTTTTTACAAGATATCAAATTAGAATTTCAATTCAATAATAAAGTGATTTTTCATAAGATATTAAATTAAATTTCGATTCAATAATAAAAAATTTATTTTTAAAAAAAGTATTTTACCATCATTTAATTTTTTATTTTTGAATATTTTAATATACTCTTAATTATTTTATTAATTTAAAACATCAAATTTTTAATTTTTTACAAATCAATATAAAAAATAGCTGCATTAAGAATTATTTGAGAAAATGTGGAAACTGACTACTTAGTTAAAGAAAGAAAGTAACATAACCATGAGTATTATTATTTTTTTCATAGCAATAAATTGGAATTTTAGCAGAATGTCATAAGAAGAATAAATCAATACTATAATAACAATTATTCTACTCATTAATATGAGCAGAAGTAGTAAAATCTGATGAGAAATTATGAGTAAGTAAATAAATAAATAATAATATATTGATAAATATAACTTAATTGTATAAGTAATTAATATGTATCTTTTAGGACTTTTGTAATTGGTGTAATAGTATAAGAAGAAGGGAAAGATGATCGTATAATGGGAAATAATTTTATAATTTCTTCTGAACTAGTTTTTAAGATAGATTAGATAGTTATTAAAATGTTTTAATTGATTGTTTTTAATAAAAATTTTAGGAATTTTTAGATTTATATTAAATATTTTTATATATTTAGTTATAAAACATTATCAAACAAGAGCTAGTAACATGCTGAAGGTAAACCAGTAGTTGAAGGTAAGGAGTAGAGTTTAAATATTTTATTTTTATTAAAGGGTTTTCAATATTTTTTTAATTTTTTTTTAATTTTTAATTTCTTTTTTATTAAAGGTGGGTTTTATTTTGTAATGTTTTATTTTTTTTATTGTTTTTTTTATTAATTTTATTTTATATAAATAAATAATATCAGATATTGATTAATTGAATTTTAAACTATCATTAATAAATTTTCTTACTTTTTTTTATTTACTAAAGAGTTCTTAGTTTTGTATTAAAACAAAACTATTCTTTTTTATTTTTAATCATAGTAAATAATAATAACTTTTAAAAATAAATTTATATTTATCGTTATAAATTGTTTCATCTAACATTAATTCCAATTTTTGCATTATTAAAATTGCTTCAAGATCACTTTAACTTTAACCTTAAAGAGGTTATTCTAAAAAATAATATCATAAAATTAACTTTAATTATATCATAATAAAATTATATTTGTATTTTCTTTTCAGTAATCATCTATTATATTAAATAATTCATTATAGTAATAATAAATTTTCTTATAATAAAGGTCTGATCAGTCTAAATGCTAACTTCATTATATTAAGGAATGACTGTAATAGTTAATAATGATTATTTTTCAGAATTAGAAATATTTGAATCACTTTTTATCTAATAATTAAAAATATAAATTATTTAAAAATTTAGTTTATTTTTATAGTAATTTTAATAAAAAGTTACTTATTGATAATAATAAAGGAAGATTTTAAGTTGATCAATTATGTCAAAAAATGCTTTTTTTTTTGTGATTATTATTTGATTTTACATATGTATGATAACCTCTGACAGAACAATAACTAGTAATTGTTATACCAGTATTTTCAGGAATCTTAAAATCAAATAATTTAATTATACTTGATTTCTTTCTGAATGATTATAGATATTTCTTTCTTTAATATCAATTTTATATTCAATACTTAAGTTTTTAAACATAAAACAAATGGTATAATCAGTTAACTTTTATCTTTATATTACTTTTCTTAAGCTATAGCTAATAAATAAAAAATATATATAATATTAATAAAATATAATATAATATTATATAAAAATTTTTTTAAAAAATTATCATTAGTTAATTGATAAATAAAATATGAATATTTTTCATTTTGAGGTTAAAGTGAAATAAATTTTCTAATGTTATAATTTGAATTAGATAGATCAGAAGGAATGAAATATTTAAGTTAAATTGATTTTCATCAATTTCTTCTTGGTTATTTTTTTTTGTTATATTTTTTTAAGAATAATTCCTTTTGTGATATTAATTATTTGAAAAGCTAATAGATTAATATATTTACCATCTTTTAAGACAAAAAAACTCATTTTAATAAATCTAAATATTTATTAGAATTTAATGCTTCATGATGAGTAATTTGATAGATTTCATTAGTTTATAATTTATCTGTAACTTTAGTTTCACAAATATCCTTCCTTTTCATATCTTTAAGAAAATCATCAAAACAAGTATATAAATCAGAAAAATCAACTTTATTATGTAAATTATATTTCTATCTAATTTGACATTTTACAGATATCTACTAATAACAGATAAAATATTTTTAACATATAATGATTACCTTTTAAAATAGTTATATCACAAAGAAATTAAGTAATTTAAAATTTAATAATATCTTTATCTAAAGGACAATTATAACTAACATTGACTCTTAATTTGTTTATTATTTTCAGTATTATTAATTATATTTTGAGATATTCTTACTTTAACAATATAATATGATAATCAATAGAAAGTAAAAATTTGGTAAAATGTTTGTATTATATTATTGAATAAAAGTTTTAAAAATCAAATCTGAAAAAAAGAAAAAAGTTAGGTTAAAAAAAGATAATTAAAAAAAAAGTAAATTATAATAAAAAATAAACTTTTAAATATTAATTGTTATTATTATTATGATTATTTATTGTTAATAATCATAGTCAATATCATCATCATCTTTTTCTTCTTTATTGTCTTGACTAGTAATATCATAATCATCATCTTCTTCATTATTTGAAATTATTTCTAAATTGTCAAAATCATCAAAACCTTCAATATTATCAATATTTTTAATTATATTTTCATGAAATTCAACATCTAAATCTTGATCATGAATTTCAATTTGATTAATCTTTTACCATATTGATGTGATAAAATTTGATCTTTTTTATGATAATAAGTATGTATCAGTCTAGTTACAAATATACCATTTTTATTTTTACTTATACATAATATGTATTTATATAAATAATCCATTTTTATTGAAAGAATGGTTTATTTTATTATAAAATAATTTGGGTTTTATAAATTGTTTAATATCTAACATTGATTTGTTAATTATTTATCCTACGCGTATTTATCGTATTTCTATTACATTCATAAATCTTTAATTATATTTCTTATCTTCTTTACAAAGGAAACCTTCTGCACTCGTATATATATCACTTATTTAAGTTAAGCAATTTAAAAAACTAGCATAACACTATTATCTTTATTCAATTATATAAATAAATTAAAATTTTATTTATTACAATAAAAAATTATCAAATATTTTTATATTTTACCAATTTTGAATAAATACACAAACATATTTTTTATAAACAAATATATATATATTTAAAATTATAGATTATATTAATTTTTTATATAATAAGATTAATAAAAGTTTATTTAATTATAAATATTATAACTATATAAATTAGAAGTTTAATTAATTATATTATAAAATTAAGATATTTATAACAGTGTATAAAATCTAAATTCAAAATTATATGTATAAGTTGATAAATTTATTATTAAATTAAGAAAATTATATGTAAAATTACCATTTTTATATATAATTTATCTATTTTTAGCAATAATTTATACACATTTTATATTGTATAATATGTATATATAAAATTAATATGCATATATATACATATATTTATTTAACTTTTTTTTCTTGTTTACTACTCAAATATATATAAAATATTAATTTTTAAAAGCAAATACTACTTACTTATTAAAATAAATATTAATATATTTAATAATTTTAAAGGTATAAATAAGATTGTATAGTTTAATCAAATAATTGTATATGCATAATCAGTAAAATTTTTATTTATAAATTCAGAAAATATGCTATATTTATAAAAAAAAAAAGTATATAATATTATATTAATTATATTAAATGGAAAAATAATCTCAGAATAAATTTTTAGATAAATCATCTACTATTAAAAAAAGGTTTAAAATTAATTTTAAAGTAATTACTTGTCATAATTCTACTATTTAATGATAGCTCAATAAGTTATATTTTATTTTATAATAATTATTATTTTTTTTTTTTTTTAACTAATTCTTAACTTTTTATGTATAATTATTAATAAATCTTACTTTAGATAATATAAGATTGATTTTTAGTAATAACAAAAAAGAATAATTTATAACAAATTAAAAAAATATTGGGATAAACTTCTATAATTCCTCTATGCTGAAATTAACCAAGTAAAATATAAATTCTTATTTAATCAGGTAATGAATTAAATAGACTCCGAATTTCTAATAATATGAAATTACTCCAGGTATAGTTGCAATGATATAAAATGAAAAAAAAAATTCTTAATATAATTAGACGCGTAAAAACGCTTGTGTAATTTTTTTTGATTTTTTAAAAATAAAAAACCCCAAACTTTTTAAATTCTTAAACTACTTGCGATGTGCCTTCCAGAACTCCCAGAAAATGGAAAGTTTCAACAAGTTAAAGAATGGCTTAAAAAGTTTGAAGAGGCATTTGGTTATGAAAACGTTGCAAATAAATGGACTACAGGAAATGCAAGAGCATTTAAAAATTATGGAGAAAACGATTTGAAAGTGATTTTTGGATTAGAAGGATCTCTTATCTATAAATCTCTTCATAATAATAAAGGTGGCGTATATCCTATTATCTATCGATATTTATGAAACTTAGTGATCACTTCTTTTCTCATTTTTTAACTTGTATCTCGTGCAATTTTTTTCATTGATTGATATCTATGATAAATTCGAAGCGTATCAATGAGCGCTAATCTAACCTTTTTTTGGTACTTTATTTACCTTTAACATTAGTTGCCACACAAAATCGTGCCAGAGAAGCAGGTATGGTTAATACATACTTAGATAATTCGGAAGCGCCAGGAATTCCTACTTTCTCTGCTTATAACTCATTCAAATATTACTCGTAGAGCCTGATCATCACAAAAGGAAGCCTCGGCCAAATATTTCAACGGAAGGACCAATACATCCACAATCTACTACGTTCATGCTTCCCTTTCTTGAACGGGACATCTTTGAAGACGTGTTAAATGGCTTTTATTATGGAAGGAAGTCATTCGTCATTCATGGGCCATACCAATCTGGAAAGACTACGTTTCTGTTGGCACTTGAAGCAGCGCTCAGAGAGAAGTTTGATACAGACATTAAACAATTTGACATGACGGGAGCCACGGGCGACATCTCGATAAATGGCCCGCAAGTTGGATTTACTAATTTTCTATCATATCTTATTTTTCAGGAATATCTTGATTCATCAGCATTGTATACAAAGCTTCAATATTGGCAGAGACGGCTTATCTTACTTATTGATGAGTTCCAGTTTATCTTCAGATCCCAAGACCTTCTCTATATTACAAAGGCTTTCTTCAATGCTCTCTCGTTCAATTCACGTATATCCTACGTTGCCGTGGGCACTTTCAAGCTCATCGAACTCCAAAAACCTGATAAGACACTTGAATCACCTTTCA